CTCAAGTCTAGTGGAACGTTTAATTGGTGTAAGGAGGTTTGGTCTGGTCTCGCTCCTCCCAGAGTTGAAACTTTTATCTGGCAGGTTTCCCACCAAAATTGGCAGTCAGAACGGAGTTGAAGAGAAGGGGTGTTGCATTAGAGGTATTACTATGTCCGTTATGTTTAAATCAGGAAGAAACTGTCTAGCATTTATTTATTTCCTACTCGGTCACAGGGAATTTATGGAATTGTTTTTTCAGACTATGGGATATCTCTACAGTTCTGCCTAAAGATATGTCGTCTCTGTTGAGTTCTTGGGCTGATTTAAGGGCGAATTCTTTAATCTGAAAATTTATTCCAGGTGTTGTTTTCTGGTCAATTTGGAAGACTAGGAATTCGGTGGTGTTTGATAAGATGAAGCTGGACAGATCATCTCTTTTCTTCATTTCAAGATTCAGATTGGTCAAATGGTATCTAGAAAAGTTCCCGAATGTTAATATTCAAGTTGACTCTCTTATTGGGGATCCCACTATTGCAGATAAGCTTCCCTCGCCTACTGTTAAAAGGAAAATCGTTCAGTGTTGGCTTCCTCCTCCAACTCATTTTTTTAAGTTTAATGTTGATGGGGCAGTCAGAGGTGATGGGCTAGTGGGTGTTATTCGAGGCATTTTGAAGGACTCTAGTTGTAATATTTTAGGGTCTTTCTCGAAGAGTGTTGGCCCTTGTCTTCCACCTTTGGCAGAATTGAGAGCAATATAGAAAGGCATTGATTTTTTTCTCGCATCAGCTTGGGCTAAGGAGGGAAGACTGATCATTGAGAGTGACTGTAAAGTAGCTGTGGACTGGATTTTGTTGACGAATACAGCCCTCCTTTCTTTAGTTCTTTGGTTGGGAAAATTGTATCTCTAATTTCGGCTAGGGAGATTATTGTTAGGCACATTCCTAGGAGTTGTAATTGGGAGGCATATTCTTTGGCTAAACAAGGGATTGGATGAGTTGTGTCTGTGTTTTGGTTCTTAGTAGTTTGTTCTGGGAGTCTGTTTCTTATGTTGGTGTCTAAGGTGTATTTTTTTAAGAAATTTGTACGAGTATGCTTTATTAATAAATTGAGGCACTTTTTTCCCTCTTCCACTGATTAAGGAACACCGATTTGGTGGTCCGTTAATCATGAGGGGGGGTTTTAATGAGGCCTCTCATTCCTATCAAAAAAAAGAACAAACTTCACTCCCTTATCTTATTCATGAAACAATCCCTAATATTATACTAAAAACAATCCCTATTATTATAGAAAATTGTCGGATTCCAATTTCCTAATTAAGTAATATTAGTTAGCTAGGAGATTCTGTAAATATGTTGTGATTATAACTCCTAACTTTAAGGCTTTATTTTAGGACAAATATTCTGGGAATCGGTCTCTTTCCTAGTTTAGAGTTTCCTAACTTAGGCTCTCTATGTCTATATGTATCAGTGTAAATTCTTATGGAATATATAATAAAAGAATCAAGCTTGTTTTAACATGATATTAGAGCCTTTTTTGGCTCAATTATGGGATATTTTTCTCTCTTTTCTGGCAGCCTCTTCACACTCACCAATCAGTCCTTAAGCTTGTAAAAGTTTTCCAAAAAAACTTGGAATCAACCACAGTAGGATGGAGAAAGTAATCCTCAAGAATCACCTGTTGAGTTCAATAGAGAAGAGATTGAGAAGCTGAAGAATCTGTTGGGATCATTCGAGAAACCTTCTTCAACAGGTACTTGCAGTTTTGCTTTCTCAACTATATCCTCTTCTCAATTTTCTTAAGTCTCGGATATACCCAACAAAGGTTCTTGTGTCATCGACTCAGGAGCTACAGACCACATGACTCACTCCTCACAAAACTTTATTTCATATACACCTTGTTCTAGTAATAGAAAGATAACAGTAGCTGATGGTTCAGTGATCACAGTGGTTGGTCAAGGTGATGTTGTAAGCGAAACCCTCACCCTTAAAATTGTCCTCCAGTTCCAAAATTGTTTACAAATCTTCTATCAATTTAAAAGATTACCAAAGATTCTAACTGCAGTGTGGTTTTTTACCCCACTCGATGTGTTTTCAAGAACAAGGTACGAGAAGGATGATTGTACGTGCTAAGAAAATAAATTGCCTATACTATTTTGAAGAATTCAATAGTCAAGTTAGTGTTATGGATTTCTCACTTTTGTCTTTCCTTTCCGAATCTGTTAAGACCAAGACTAAATTTGACTCCATCACCTTCACCTTGGTCATCCATAATTTAGAGTCCTTAAAGTTACGTTTCCTTGATTGTTCAAAGGGTTAAATGTTAAAAAATTACATTGTGATGTCCGTGAACTTGCAAAACACAAACATACCTCTTTTCCATTTAGCAATAAAAGAACTTCTACTTCTTTCACTCTTATTCATAATGATGTTTGGGGGCCATCTTCTATTTCAAATATTTCTAGGGCTCGGTGGTTTGTAACCTTTATTGATGCTTGTACCCGTGTGTCCAAATATTACTTCTAAAACAAAAATCTGATGTGAGCTCTACCTTCCAAACCTTGTACAACATGATCAAAACCTAATTTAGTGCTTAAATTAAAAGGTTTCGATCAGGCAATGCCAAAGACTATTTCAATCAGTTTCTTTTACCTTATTTCTAACATCTTGTGCTAGCATAACCCAACAAAACGGTGTAAATAAAAGAAAGAATGGTCACATTTTAGCTATCACAAGGGCCTTTTTGTTGCAGAAAAATGTTCCCCAAATATTAGGGGAGGTTGTCTTAACTGCTACTCGTATGATAAATAGACTACCCACAAAGGTTTTTGAGTCTCAAAGCCCTATGTAAGTTTTAACAAAGTTTTTTCCTAATTTCAATGCCTCAAATAATCTTCCTCCTAAAATATTTGATTGTGTTGCCTTTGCCCATCTACATTCTCAAAAAAAAAAAGGAGAATCTTGATCCACAGGCAGTCAAATGTGTCTTTCTTGGTTATTCTTCCACTCAAAAGGGATACAATTGCTATCATCCTCCCACAAAAAACACTTTGTATCTGCTGATGTCACTTTTGCATAAGAATAGAACTACTTTACTCGTCCTTATCTTCAGGGGGAGATCTCTTTCACATAAGATAAAGACAAAGACTTCTTTCTCCTCGATTTTCTAGCATCTGCCCAGCAATCCTTCCCTGTCAATCAACCAGCCCAAACCAATCAGCTAACCCAACACAACCATACAACTTGAGACAGAGCCTAATACTCCTAAATCACAAGGAGGGATTCAGGACACCACACGACCTTTACTGGTTTATTCAAGAAAGAAGACATCGGTGCAGCTTCAATCATCCTCTACTCCTATACCACCCGAGGCAACTACTAAACCTCCCAATAATAACAATATCACTGAAACTACTGAGAATCTTGATCGAAGAGACAATGATTTTCCCATTGCTATTAGAAAAGGAACTAGAACCTGCACAAAACATCCTACGTACCTATTCATGTCATACAAAAATTTGTCCCGTAACCATAAAGCCTTTTTTACTAACCTAAACTCTATCTCCATTCCCAAAATTGTATCCGAGGCTTTAAATGATGAGAATTGAAAAATGCCATGAAAGTTGAAATGGAAGCACTTGAAAAGAATAAGACATGGGACTTGGTGGAATTACCAAAACGAAAGAAACCAGGGGATGATGGGTATTCATAGTGAAATATAAATCAGATGGTTCTTTGGAGAGGTACAAAGCAAGATTGGTTGCTAAAGGGTACACTCAAATGTATAGAATATACTACCTTGAGATTTTTACCCCTGTTGCAAAAATGAACACTGTAAGAATGTTTGTTATCATTAGCTGCTAATCAAGGCTGGAAATAACAATTTGACATTAAAATGCATTTTTACAGGTGAGCTTAAGGAGGAAGATTATATAGATGTCCCATCAGGATTCAGTCCAAATACAGACAGATGGTATGCAGGCTAAAGAAGGTTTTATACGAACTAAAACAGACCCCAAGAGCTAGGTTTGGAAGTTCATATAGATGTCCCACCAAGATTCAGTCCAAATACAGACAGATGGGCTATTGCACTTTCCTAGGAGGCAACCTTGTGACTTGGAGGAGTAAAAAACAGAATATTATGACCAGATCCAGTGCAAAAACTGAATTTAGGGCAATTGCACTTGGTACTTGCAAGTTATTATGACTAAAAATTATTTTGGAAGATTTAAAAATCAAGTGGGAAGGTCCAATAAAACTGTGATAATAAATTTGCAATCACTATTGCATACAATCCAATGCAACATGACCGTACAAAGCACATTGGAATTGACATACATTTTATAAAAGATAAGCTTGACAGTGGCCTAATATCCACTCCATGTGTCCATTTATGATCAACTGGCAGATATACTTACCAAAGGATTGTCTGGAAAGAATTTTCAGAAGTTATTAAGCAAACTGAGAATGGATGTTATCCACTTCCCAACTTGACGGGGAGTGTCAGATTCCAGTTTCCTAATTAAGGAATATTAGTTAGCTAGGAGATTTTGGAGATTTAGTAAATATGTTAGTGATTATAACTCCTAACTTTAAGACTTTATTTTAGGACAAACATTCTGGGAATCAGTCTCTCTCCTAGTTTAGAGTTTCCTAACTTAGGCTCTCTATGTCTATATATCAGTGTAAATTCTTATGGAATATATAGTAAAAGAATAAGGCATGTTTTAACAAAAAACATGAATTCTAAATGTAAAAGAAATAGGTAAATTATTATTTCCCAAAACTGTATACCAAAGTCAAAAATAAAATCCATTAAAGACAGAGTAATGAAGTATATTGGAGCAAAAACATTAGTGTTGTAACAAGTTTCTTACTTTTATCTAATGATAGTTTGACAACTCAGGCATTGGGAGAAACATATCATAAAAGCCATTACAGACAACTCAGGCATAAGATGTCTGACTAATCATAAGAAACAAATAAGCCAGTATACAGCAAAACATCCATCAACTGACTTACCGAATCATAGGTTGTAGATCTCCACTTTCTCGAATTACATCTTCAGGGTTGCCATTGAAAAGACCAGCCCACATGGAAAGAATATCGAATACCTGATCCTCAAGCTCCTGATGTATCAAGAATAGCTTCGTAAGATATTAATAAGCATTACAAAAAAATTACAACATATTCTTATCTAAGAAAGGAATAGAAAAAAAGTAACGAATATGACCGGAAAAGAAATAACTCTATACCTCCTTTGGCATGGAAGATAATAACGATGATAAGAGTAACCATCCAGCTTCTTCTTCAATCTTCGCAGTAATGGCATCTCTACTAGATTCTGTTAGTAATTTCTTTGAAACTTCAAGAACTGCCTTGGGCAATCTAAGGACAATAGCATGTTAGTTTACTTTCCATTTAGTTTACCGAAAAGAGTGGGAACCAAACTATGATTGCAGTTGTTTACTAAGGCCTAGCCGCAAGAAGCATAACTTCAGAATTTTGGCAAATACAATTTACTGTTATAAAAGAATATTACCTGGCTGGATAACCAAGGGGTAATTTTTGTGAAATGGAAATTAAAGCAGCCAAAACTGTTGCTTGCCCGTGCAAAGAATCAAGCTCAACTTGCAAATTGCTTCCCTGAACACAACGGAAAAAAAAATACTTGCATTATGTTTTAGAATCATCCCAAAAGCATTCACAACATGTGAAAAACATAAGAAAATAAAATAAAAAAGTGACAACAACACTATAGCCCCATTTAGATGGGTAGTCAAAATGTGGCTATTGCAACACTTGCCCCTTTAAACAGGCCTATACCCTTACTGACCTCTAATCACATAAGTGCTTAAAGTCAGTGCTTTAACATCCACTCTAAGTTAGGCTGAAAGATGGGTATCAAGATTTAAAACTATTTCTTTATATTACAAGGAAAAGCATCGACTAAATAGTGAATCAGCTCAAAGGAAGTCAAGCAAAAGATAGTAAAGCCCTGTATACAAATAATACAATCAAGAAGGGCATTAGAAGGAAAGATTGAAAAGTCAGCGCATTAACATCCACGAACACCAACGCTCACCAAAACCCATCTCTTTCATAAGGATTGGCCATTCGGAGTCATAAGCCCTCTTATTTTTTTTTACAGTAAACTTGCTGATTGAAAGGCAGCATCTCTCTCTTTGGTTGGAAAACTGGTTCTGTTAAAAGTTGTTTTGTGTTCTTTCCCAACTTATTTCTTGTCAATTTTAAAGATCCCATCAAGTGTGATCAGGAAGCTTAATTCTATAACGGCAAGATTCTTATGGGGGGAGGATCATAGAGGAGTAAGATACATTGGTAAATTTGATGACTGTATGCAAATCTAAAGATAATGGAGGTTTAGGAGTGATGGATCTCAACCTAATAAATAGAGCCCTTTTACGGAAATGGTCTTGGAAGTTTGCAAATGAAAATGATTATGAGTGGAGAAAGCTGATTTGTAGCAAATGCAATTTAGACCAAAGTTCGTTGCTACTCAATAATAGTTTACCAGCTCAGGCTTCCTGGATTTGGAGATCGGTGGTGAATAATCATTTTAAAAATGATTCTTTTGGTTCCAAATTTCGCAACCAGTTCGAATCAGAACGGGAAATGGTGAGAATATTCGTTTTTCGCATGACATTTGGGTTATGGAATCCCCCTCAAAGAAGTTTTCCCTAGCCTTTTGGCCCTTTCTACTAATCAAAATGGAAGGTTAAGGGAGTTTGGTGAATTTGGAACTTCAAGTTGGTTTTGGTTTGTAGAGATGAGAAGGAATTTGAGTGATTAGGAGTTTGATCAATGGGTCGAATTGTTGGTAACAATTAATAATATAAGTCTTTCGGAAAATTCGAGAGATGGTCTAATTTGGAGAGGAAATGGGGATGGTATTTACTCAGTTAGATCTTGTATGAAAACGTGCTCCATTGATTTGGATCTAGATCAATTTTGGAAGGGTTGCCTTTGGAAGAGGTTAGTGCCTCCAAGGGTGGAGACTTTCATGTGGCAAGTTGTTCATCAAAAATTGGCTGTAAGGGTTGAATTATTAAAGAGATGTGTTCCTAGGATATTGGATCCACTGTGCCCTCTATGCAAGTTGAAAATGGAGTCCTCGCATTTATTCTTCTCTTGCACTGTTGCTTGGTGATTATGGAATAGGTTTCTGAATTTGTGGAAGATATCAGTTGTCATACATGAAAATGCATACTGCTTTCTTTTAGCTTGGGCTATTTGGACTTTTATTCCTGGTGTAATTTTTTGGACGATTTGGAAATGTAGGAATGCCATTGTTTTCGAGACGGGAATGTTCGATCTGATTCAATTGTTCTTCACAACAAGGTTCATATTAGCAACTTGGTTCTTAGCAAAATTCACTAACATTCCCATTTCGATGGATTCCCTCATTGGTGGTCCATCTCTTGGAGATATATGCTTTGCTTTAAAAAGTCAGCTAGCAAATCATATTTCCTGGTCCCCTCCCCTGTGGGATTTCTAAAGCTGAATGTGGATGTTGTTGTCCAAGGTGATTGGAAGGCAAGCGGTTTAGGTGGGATTCTAAGAGATGACTCCGGCACAATGCTAGGATCCTTTCAAGAAGCTGCTGGTTCGGGTCCTCCTTCTTTAATGAAATTAAAGGCCATTAAATATGGCTTAATTTTCTTTGAATCTTCTAGCTGGTGCTCTGAGGGACAATTGATTATTGAGAGCGATAGTAAATTGTGTGGAGTGGATTAAGAATTTGGATAAATGCCCAAGTATGTATGCTTAAATTTCTAAAGAAATTGTGGATAAAATCAAGAACTTGGAGGGTATTATTCGTTGGATAGCTAGGCCAACTTAGAGGCAGACGTTTTAGCAAAGTCTGGAATTGGCTAAGATAGGGAGTTTTGGTTGGGTTTTGTTTTTTTTTTTTTTTTGATAGGAATAGAAGGCCTCAATAAAACCCCCTTCGTGATTAACGGAACTTAAAAATAGCTCCTTAATCCGCACAAGGAGGAAAAGAGTGTCCTAGGATTTCATTAAACTCAAATATAACAAAGTAATACAAACTAATCTCCCTCAAGAGATACAAAACCAGAAAGAAACAGCCCTTAACATAACATAATTCAACCAATACCAGCCTTAGCTAGGACATCCGCCTCTATATTGGCTGTCCTACTAACCCAACTAATAAAACCTTCATAAACAATAAGCTTTTGAATAATGTCTTTAACAATTTGAACATAAACAACAGGACAAGAGACCACATCCTTAACCCAGCCAACTGCCACCTTACTATCACTCTCAATAATCAATCTTTAAACCTATGACAAATAGATTCATAAAAATCTAAACCCTTTAGGATAGCCTTCAATTCCATTAAAGTTGGGGACCCCGGACCAGCAGGCTCTTTGAAGGAGCCAAGAATCGAACCAAACATGTCTTTCAAAATACCACCTAAACCACTCCTCTTCCAATCACTCGAAGTAGCCGCATCCACATTAAGTTTAATAAAACCTTTTGGAGGAGGGGACCAAGGAAACACGGTTGAAATCCGATTAGAATGGGACGAGTAGGAATCCACTAAGGAAGGGTCAGCAATAAGATCATCCTTGGAAATAGTAATATGAGTTTCCTTAGCTAGAAACCATGAAGCAAGCCTGCACCTTGCTAGAAAGAAAATCTCTGCTCGATCCAGCTTCCCCTCCTTCAAACACTATAAAATTCCTAGTCTTCCAAATTGTACATAAAACAGCTCCAGGGATAAATGACCAGATAAGAGAGTTGGTCTTTAAGTCATTCCAAGCCAATAGGAATCTTTTTAGCATCTGCATGAAAAACAAACTGAAAATTCCAATAGCCCAAGAATTTCATCCAAATTGGCCAAACAACCGAACAGGAAAAAAATAAATGCGATGAAGACTCTTCTTCTAGATTACAAAAAGAACACAAAGTATCATTTATGCCCTGAACACCTCTCTTAACCAGAGCTGTCTTCACTGCCAACTTCTTTAAGATAACTTGCCAAAGAAAAGTCTCTACTTTTGGAGGCAACAGACCCCTCCAAACATTAGACTTCCAAAATTTAGCTTCCTCCGAATCGGGAGAACCCGAATAAGATAGATTGACACATGATTTCACAGTGAAAACCCCTTCTCCATTCCCCTTCCAAAACAGTCCATCAGCGGCATCAGCAGAAATAGAAAAATCAGAGATAACAGCCATCAAATTCGCCCATTGCTCAAATTCCCAGTCATTCAACTCTCTCCTCAGCTGAACGTTCCAAATCCAACCCCCTGAACTGAACTCCCCAAACTAAAATAATCTTCCTGCTTTATTCACTGCAATAAAAAATAGTCTAGGGAACAATACCATCAAAGGATGATCCATTGCCCAATTGTCTAGCCAAAACCGAATATTCCTCCCATTGCCAATTTTATAGCTATATTTACCTCTGATACTACAGCCCAACGAATCAGCTTTATAATGATTACTCACCATATCTCTCCTTATCCAAGAAAATTTAGGAGAAACTTTACTGTCGAACTGCATCAAGGAAGGGTCCAATTTATATTTGATGTAGAGCATTTCCCTCCAAACCGCCTCCCTCTCAATAGCAAACCTCCAAGCCCACTTTTCCAAAAATGCCCTATTCACCACATTTAAATTAGGAACCCCCAAGCCTCATTCAATTTTTGGTTTACAAACGTCGGACCAGCTTACCCAATGCATCTTCTTTTTCCCATCTCCACCACCCCATAAAAAATTTGACATAATAGAATTTAGAGTCTTGTAAACTGAAGCTGGAACCTTGAACATTGACAAAAAGTATATAGGGAGTGAGCTTAGAACTGATTTAATTAGAACTAGCCTGCCTGCCAGTGACAGAGAGGAGCATTTCCAGCCCGCTAACCTCATCTTCTTTTTTCTTGTCTTTTGGTTTATATATATTGTATGGGGGTAAAGTTTGGTTGTAATCATATGCATTTTTTTTTATAGGAATTTAAGGCCTCGTTAAAAACCCCCTTCTTGATTAAAGGAGCTTGTAGAGAAGCTCCTTAATCAGCGGAAGGAGGAAAAGAGTGCCTTAAGATTTCATTAAACATAAGAAATTACATAGATACAACCAGAGAGTCACCCCCAACATAGACAGGAAACCAAAAACAGCCGAAAACACCCCTCCACAACAACACTAACCCAGCCTAAACCATCTTAGCTATAGCAACTTTAATATGACTAACCAGACAAAAAGCCAAAACTTGACCCGAAATACAACACAAAACAATACAACTATAACAGAAGCCAAAAAAATCAGCTGACTCAATCCATAGAAGCCAAATTCAAACACAAAAGCCATGAGCTTCCACACGAAGAGTACAAAAAAGCAAAACTCGAAAACACTCTTTCCGCTTTTCTGCCCCTTAATGCTCGTCATGTCATCGGAGACCATCCGAACCTCCTACTCCAATATCAAAAATAATAATCGAGTCCCCTGAAACTATTCACAACATAATGTTTCTTGAATCAACACAAACTCACGCTTAAACATCCAATAATCCTTCTTAGTTCAGAAGAAATAAAACATTTGAGCCCATCCCTCATTTGATCCAAGATAAGAACCTTATCTCGACCTACTTCCTCTGAGAATAGCTAAAATCAACAGAAAGGGATTGTGACACACCTTTCAATACTTCCACTTCCATAATGTTCCGAGATCAAAAACACTTGTGAGCCTTTAGAATCATATAGGGATTTGCCTTCAAGTTCAGACACCCCTTCCTCGCGTTGCACCTTACTCTGATAATTCTTGCTTCGGCAGCCTCTAGTCTTCCTTTGGGGAGTCGTAAAATTCTCTTGAAATATTTGGAAAGAGCTATATTTATTATTAATCTCCTCCTTTGCTTTCTGGTATTGCCTGGCCTCACCCTTGGAACTTTTGAATGTGCACTTATTTGTAAGGCCCACATTAATCACATCCTCCACCACCTTTGACTCTACTCGACCATCCAACATGGGAAAATCTGTAAAATAATCCTTCAATCCCTCATAAGCACGTGCAGACTCACAACTTTTCCTGTTGTCATCTTCTGCCTCTCTCTCCGCGTGTTCTAGCACAACCTCGTGTTCCATCGTTTCCAGCACTTCCTCGTGTTCCACCACTTCCTCGATTTTTGTTTGAACCTTCCCCTGACCAGCAGCATTATTCCTCAGACCCATAATGATTTCTTCCCCTATGTTCCGCTCCTCCACATCCTCACCCGACAAGAAGCTACCTTTAGCTCTGTTCCCCATACAACATAATTGATTGTCTTCTACCTCAGAACACCTCTCGGAATTCTTCTCCTCCGATGAGTCCACGCTTCTTCCTGCCGGTGAATCAGAATCGACTACAGTGGCACCTTTTTCTTCCCTCTTTCGAAACAAAGAATCACTTCTAACTGTGGGAACTTCCACTACTCTAATTCTAAAAATGTCTCTACCTGCTTCCAAGTCTACCACTTCATCAATTAATTCTTTCCTACTAGTTGCTATCAGAATAGTCATCTCCTCGCAACCCAATTCTTGAAATGAGTTTTCTCCCAGCGCTAAACATTCTCCCCATTGCTGTGCAATCCTCTTAAAGGTGTTATGATTCCAGCAATGAAGCGGAATTCAAACAGTTTAATCCATGTAACTCTTTTCGATGCTCTGTAAGATTCTGACCAAGGTTGAACTTCCTAGAAAACTTCATTTAAAATGAACCAGTTCTGCTATGTCAAGGTTCTGAATAATTCTTCATCAGCTATTTGCAATAAGAAATCTCTCCCTCCCAGGAACTTGGACTTAATTTCTCCTAGACCACCAGCTTGTAATTTGTCATCCACCTGACTCGAAGAGCATACCGTCGCCATCGTTCCTACGATGCACATCTGGAGCTTTCGAACAACTTCCTCATCTACATCCCCCTGAATTAGCCTAGTCCTCCTCCTTGCAAGTTCCTCCGGACTTTCTCCACTAACGTTTGTTCCTTGTTCTACCCTGGTTATAGCACTGGAAGTTGAAGGATATTTCAGTTTCCAGATTTGATTCTTGGCTCCATACTGAGCTTCTTTGACTGATAAACGATATCCAACCAGAAACCATTTAATCTTTGGACTGCTCTAACTGAGTCACCTCTGTTGGAAAATCTAACAAAGCCAAAGCGCTTTCATGTTCTATCATTTTTCCTTGTTATATAATAACTCATCACATCACCATGCCTCCCGAATAGATATCTCAACCCACTCCAATGATATGTAGGTGGTATGTTTTGCACAAACAAAGTTACGATCTCACCTTCATTTCCAAAATTATGAGCCATTTGTAATCATATTCATTGTATTACTCTTTTAATTAATAAAATTTGAGGCACTCTTTTCCTCCTTCCGTTGATTTCTGGAACGCCTCATGGTGTTCTAGTAATCATGAAAGGGGTTTTTAACAAGGCCTCCACTTCTTATAAAAAAAAGGCACTCTTTTCCTCCTTCCAATGTCCATTGAGCTACCTTTGTAGCTTGACGGTTACGAAGGGGGTTTTTACGAGGCCTATCTTTTCTATCAAATAAATAAATAAACTATATGAACCACAAGGGGTTACAAAACATTTCAAACCATGCGATTGAGATGATTTAGTGAACAGCAATCACAGAAGAACAAAACAGCACAAAAACAGATGATTTAATACCAAAAATACTAAATTACCTTTTCAAAGGAAACACTTTCCCTTAAAGCATTTAGTATTGTCACTCCGTAAGATATCAAACTCCCAACACTAGTGGGATCAACCTCAGCCAATGTACGCAATGTCAAAGCAGCCTCAACACGTACCTATCCATAAATTTCCAAATAATAAATAATGTTGTTATACATTGTAAAAATGACGAGCAGCTGGTTAGAACAGTATGCTAAATATCACAAAAATAGAATTTAGTTTCCCATGCATGAATTTAATGCCGAAGCGAAAGTCTCTTTACAATATGTATGCATGTCTATTTCTATTTAATTTCACGAGAGATGGATGAATGCTCTTTCTAACAATTTCAATGATATCCAAACATAGAGAACCAAGTACAAATTCATAACTTATAAGAATCACTGAAAGCAAATCAAATATGTTTAAACTTTTGTAATATGTAAGAGATGTGATAAAGAGCTTACAAGCTGGGAAGAATGAGAAATTGCTGCATCAACTGTGTTATCAAACACCTCCTTGAATTCATGTGGAACCTACATAAAGAAATATCGGATTCACAATGTTAACATGTCCATACATACTAGTGGCAGATTTTTTAAACTCTATCATGTCAAATTTTTGTTCATCAACAAATTACTCAACTACAAAATCATACAAGAAGTAAGCATTCTTCACAAATCAACATGCAAACCAAACGAATTGGGCATATTATCATATTTATGCACCCCATTAAAAACAAATAAATCAGGTATCACTTGTCATAGTTTATTGCAAAGATTTTAATCAAATTTCGACAGGTAGCTACCATCTACTCGAATCTGGAGAGATAGAATAAAAGCAATTAAATTTCAATCAACTTCATTTTGAGAGCTTCATAGTTAGCTTGAGCGAAAGAATCATTTTAGAGAGGAAATTAAACGTCTTCTGCAATCTATTAGGATGCTCTTTTATATTATTGTATTTCCCTTCATCTTACCATAAGCAACCATAAAAAGGCAACTTGGATAAATATAGCTCTAGAAAATTTCCCAGCCCAGAAATGATCTATTTCCACTTAACCACATTGGCTAAGACTGAAAATACATTGATGTTAATAGTTATAAGATTTAAGCAGCTAAACTGCACCACCCAGACGAGCATACTAGCTTTAGATTTTTTTTTCTTTGCCCAACTAATAATTTCAGAGGACAACAAAATGACAGCAAATACTAACTAAATAACCAAAGCAAATCTACATTGGCTCCATTCGTTGACTAAGTAGAAAAGCCTGGACCAAAAGTATAATAAGCATACAATCAAAGCCAAACTTAAACAAAGAGCTTATCAGAGAGCAAAACACAACTTTCGACTGTCAAGATTAAAATGGTGTCCCCCTCCTTCCGGTTACTTTAAGATGAATGTTGATGGGGCTGTCAACTTTGACTGGAAAAAGAGTGGTATTGGTGGAGTTCTTAAAGATGCTGGTAATAACAAGTTGGGTTCCTTCTCTACAGCCTTAGGACCTTGTTCTCCTATTCTTGCAGAGATTTATGCAATCAAAACCGGGGTAGATGTGTTTTTTGATTCAGTTTGGAGGGACAAAGGAAATCTTATTTTAGAAAGTGACTCGCTTCTTGCAGTTAAGTGGATCAACAGCCCGGATCTTTGCCCGGTTCACCTTGTTGATTTTATTTCAGAAATTCAGAAGTCAGTGGTGCTTTAATGTTATTATTAAGCATATCAGCAGAGGTATGAATGTGGAAGCTGATTGTCTAGCTAAGTCAGGAATTGGTTAGTGACTGTGGAGGATATTGTTAGGAGCTGTGCTTTTGGTTTCTTTGGTTGTTTCTTTGAATTGGCAATTATTTGTAATGTTTGGTTCTTATGTAATTGTTGGTTATTAATATACTAAGGCACTCTTTTCCTCCTTCAGCTACTTGTCTCCTTAATAGAGACAACTATGAGGGAGGTTTTTAATGAGGCCTTCTAATCCTATCAAAAAAAAGAGAGCAAAACACAACCCAAATCAACCTGCAACCTGATCTCCATCAACCTGGCTGAAACCTAAAAGAGACAAAGCCCAAAATGATTTATCCCGAAACCCACCTACCTTCCCAATTGCTCTCTCTGATTGTCAAATATACTGCCAACTACGATGTTTTGTCTACAGATGGCATGCTGTATTTCTAGCATTCCTTCTGAAGTTGACCCAATTCCATGCTTGTCAGCGATGTTTTATGTTGGACAAGTTACTTTAACCAAAAGTGTTGAGTCCATGAAAAAATGACACAATTAGTTCTTTTCATTTGTATGTATCCCCACAATTTATATCAATAAAATGTATCCAAATGGACCATATCTGTACTTCATGATAGTAAATTTCATTTTCCAAAAATCCACACCTTATTTGACAAAACAAGATTAGAGAACTTGACGATGAGAGCATGTTAGCAACTAAACTAATGTTAGGAATACATAAAATGCAATTAAACTCCAAACTTTATGATTTCATAAATATGTTAGTTAAATCATAGGTATGATGTAGAACATAGAATGACTAAAACTAAAAACTTTTGAAACAATAGATATGCACACATCATGATCAACATGGAGACTTCATCCCATAAGAGCACTAGATAACCATATGTTAGAAACTTATTACACAATTTTTTTAAAGAAATGCTACAAGAAAGAAGAATTTCGCATTAACAAGAGTACCTCTCCTAGAGTTTTCAAAGTGTATGACAGGGTACGCAAAGCAGCAATTTTCATTGAAGGGCTGGCTTCGGAAGATTGAAGCTGCAAGTGCCCGGCAACCCCCACATCATCAAAACAAATGAAAAATAAATAACTTAATGGGAAATTAAAAAGAAAAAAGAAAACTTCATGAAGAAAGGAGGCGGAATACGAATCAAAACCTGCTCTCCAAGGAAGACTGTAAAGCTCCTTTGAGAAGGTTCTGTCATTTGATCAGTTACACCAACACGTAGGATATAAAGAACACATGCCTTCCATAAAACAGGAAACATTCTTTAGCTTTTGAAGGAAATGACAATACCACATCGTAATTCTGTTTGATAAACTTAGCACAATTCAAAACTTAGCAATGCTTCAACTTTTAATAATTCCATTCCTACAGAACAAAATACAAGAATTTCCAAAGAAAGAAGACTCCACTAAGAAATTTCAAAATTTACCAAAAGCTTAAAAGTGATACAACACCAGATTATCTAAATTGAGTGCCAGTACCAAACCTCAAAACATAACGAAAGAAATTTGAAACAGGAATTTCGCACAAGCATTAAAAGGATAGATAAACAAATAACAAACAACAGATGTGAAACGTGATAACATATTGCAACAGTTTCTTTAACATGCTTAAATCTTCCCTCAAATGCACCTCTATATACAAGCATTACTTAATTCTGGTTATATATACATACTCAGAAACAAGAAAATATCAAACAGAATAACAGATAAGTACATCGGGTGTACGAGAAAACAATAAAGGTAAAACAGGGCATTAGCATTTTTCAATTGGATTTTGCTTATTGTCTAATGCTTTTCTGATCCAATTTATCACCCAATACAAGAATCTTGAGATATGATAATGAGTTATATCAGAATCAAGGCATATCGTTTTCTAGATATAATTACAAAGAATAACATAAAATCTATTAAACCCAGTTTCCTCAACTACATACCACTGCATGGGCATCAAAAGATGCATCCGTACAAAGCAAGTCCAAAATGTTCAAAGCATAATTTTGAAGCTCAGTATCTAGATACTGATACTTCAAATGAATTGCCTGCAAGAATAAATTCAAAGAAATAAATTATTACTTCAAATCATCATTTGAGAACCCTTAAGATAGGAATTTTTTAGGCATACTTCTTATCTGATGATAAAAGCTAGTCCATTCTAGTTGAGCAATTTTGAAAGCCAAGACAAAAGGACATGCATTTTAAGGGAGATGGAGCAAGAAAATAATTGTGAATAGGTGTACCTGTAAAAAGAACACCCAAGATAAGGTAAGGCCAACTCGAATTTCCTTTGACCGAGAACCGCTTGCTGCAAATAATCAATTTGTAAGAAATGTGAGATGTTAGACAATTGACAGTTCAAAAGACATGTTCATGAGAAAGAAGCAATGATAAGAAATGCAAGACAAAGAAAAGAGTTCTGAATTAAGTGGCAAGGAAACATTGATTTTTTTTTTTTTTGATAAAATAAGGCCTCATTAAAAACCCCCTTCTTATCCTACATGTTACAAACATAACATGAAGGACATTGGAAGGAGGAAAAGAGTGCCTCTAACTTTTATTAATTAGAACAATAATACACCTCCACTACTCAACAGCTAACAACTTCTTACAAAACAGAAAACCATAAATCTGAAAACAAAACACACCCTGAAACTCCTAAAAAGGAACTACCAAGGCATAACACCTTAACCATTACACAAAACGTAAGTTCAGCCTATACCAGCTTTAGCTAATACATCCGCTTCCCAATTTGCTGCTCTCGAGATGAGCCTTGTGATGATACCCTTCCTCTCCACAGTAGAAGCTATATCCCTTACCAAGGAATGAAACAAAGTAGTACTAAGGTTCGGATTATTAATCCATTTCAGAGCGTTAGAAGAATCCGATTCCAAAATGATCCTCTGATTTGAAAAAGAGATCAGCTTCAACTTCCTCAATAAGAATCAACCCTCTCTTGAACGCCAAAAGCTCAGTGTGTAAGGGAGGACCTCCCCCTACCTTCTCTGAAAAAGATCCAAGCACCATCCCTCTGCCATCTCTAGTCAAGCCACCTATTCCACCCTTATCCCAACCTTTGACCATTGCACCATCAACATTAACTTTTAAGAACCCTATCGGAGGACTCCACCTAGAAGAAGGAAGATACCTCTTATTCAGATTGACATGTTGATCAGCTAGTTTTAAATCCCCCATCAAAGAATCAAAATGAAAATGAACATCCTTAACTGATGTTTCAAACCAAGAAACAGTTCTGAAACGTGAAATGAAGAACAACAGCGCTGAATCAACCCCTTATTCACTGCTTTTACCAACATTAATGTAGCAATTCCCCTCCCAAATTGAACAACAAAGGGGATAACGAGCAGCCCTGCCTTAGCCCTCTAGTAATGTGAATTTTCTCCGTAGGTGTGCCATTTACCAAAACTGAAATGGAAGCTGTTGAAACACACTTGTACATCCAAGAACTCCATCTAGCTCCAAACCCCATTTTACTCATTATTTTCAGCAAGATCCTCCAATCAACAGTATCAAAAGCTCTTTTGAAATCCACCTTAAAAACAACTCCTTTCAATCCTTTTTTCCTCCAACAATCAATGCCTTCATTTGCTATAAACGAGCAATCTAAAATGTGCCTCCTCGGTATAAAAGCGAACTGTGAAGGACTAATAACTTCATTAATGCATAAGCTTAACCTTCTAGCCAGAACTTTTGAGAGAATTTTGTAGAAACCCCCAACTAGACTAATAGGCCTAAAGTCTTCAAGCCCCTTCTGGATTGTCCCTCTTGGGAATAAGAGAGAGGAAAGAATGATTGGTTTCCATGTCCCATTCCTTTCCCTCATAAAAATCTTTAAAAAACAGCAGCAAAATTTCCTTCAGACTTGACCAAAACTTCTTAAAAAAACCTAAATTCAGTCCATCCGGGCCAGGTGCTTTATTACAATCCGAATTAGCGATTACACCCCAAATTTCCTCTTCAAAAAAAGGCTTCTCGAGTGCCATACTATGCTGATTCGATAGCTGTAAAAAAATCCAAGTCCATCTCCTCAACTTCCAATGTATTTTCCTGATTAAACAACCCCTTGAAAAAGTGTACCACCGAAGCTTTAATTAATTTTGGATCTGAGATGTCTTCATTATCTACTTTGATGGATTTGATACCATTTCTCCTTCCTCTACCTCTTGCACACTGGTGGAAAAATCTAGTGTTCTTATCCCCATTCAAACTCCACTTCAATCTTGACTTTTGAAGCCAAATCAATTCATCTTTTTTATACAAGTCCCACAGCTCTTTCTTTGCTTCCACTAGGTTCTTCATAGACACCATGGAGAGACCTTGTTGCAGATTGAGTTCCATCTCCTGAATTTCTTTCTCCAACCTATTTATTCTCCCGGGGATCTCAAGATAACCCTTCCCAGACCAATTCTTCACTGCATCCTGCACTCCTTTTAGTACACTGTAGATTGGTTGTCTATTCTCCACATTACAAAGCTTGACCAGTTCTCCCTCCATCATCCTACAAAATCCATCTTCTTTCAAGACATAATTAAACAATTTGAACGGTTTAGGGCCCCAATTCCAGCCCCTATTTTCCAGCAAGATGCTGTTATGATCTGAAACAGACCTTTCAAGGAGTCTTTGAGTTATCATAGGGTACAATGATAAAAATCTTTTATCCACTAGGAATCGATCAAGCCTCTCATAAGTTGGGATATCCATATTGTTACACCATGTAAATCGACCTCCAACCAAAGGCAAATCCAGTAAATAACAGCTCCCGAAAAAACGCCTCCTTTTCTGAATCGACACTCAGACCGTACACATTTATGAACCAACAGGATCCTTGTAACCCATCAATAATACCTTTAACTACTACAAACCTCCTATGAATGATTTCCTCTATAATCTTACACTCTTTTTCATTCCATAAAGTAATCAGACCTCCAGCAGAACCTACAGCTGCTGAAACTGCCGAAGCTGTCAACAAATTACCACCCATTTTCCTCACTACCAGCGGAGTCAACACTTCCATTTTTGATTCCTGAATGAATAAAATTACAGGCTTTCTCTCCTTAACAACCCTCCTTACAGCTCTAGCCTTAATCCTCCTACCCAAACCTCTAACATTCCAAGACAGTAAATTCAACCTTGAAATCCATCACCCCTTAATTCCCCCCATGCGCTCCTCCCTTAACCAATGATTTGCTTTGTTCATAAAGCTTTTTTTCCCCCCTCTAAATGAAATCCCTAACATTTACTTACATTCCAGCTCTCCAATGCCTCTGCCCCCCATCCCCCTCCTCATTTCTATTCATATTCCGAACTTGTACCTAACGCTCCTATTCCCCTCAACCTAGATCTTGAATAAACATGTTTATATTTGCCCCTTCCCATTCTACTCCCAGGTACAATCCCCGAATTTCTATAAGAAGACAAGGAAACTACCCCACCTGCACTGGAGTTTGACAATGGCAACATTATTTCTGCTGTTTCAAAACAACATCCCTTGCTATCTTTCCTCCTCTTGATCCAGCCCACTCCTCAAATGTAATCCGGGCCCCTAATAACCCCATTTCCGCAGTAAACTTTTTCATGCTCTATGGGAACACCTCCCAGACTTATCCCATTTTCTCTCCCTTCATTAACTTCTTCTGACTTTTCCTGCTGTATGGAGACATCCCCTACTTCTGTCACATTTTGCACAAAACAAAAGTATCTTCCATACCTATGTTTAAATTCAAACCTCCCTCGGTAGTTGTGTTTTTGCCTTGTTGAGAACTTCTAATCCAACACTCAATCCTATTCTGGGTTCTGACAACTCTGTACTCCCACCTGCTCTTCTTGCCTATTCTGCACATCTTCCTTGCTCCACTCCGAAGAGCTTTCCTCCCATGGTTCCTCTGCAACTTCTTCTACCTCCATATCTGTTAATTCTGGAAAAAAATCCTCAGCACCATCAACTTTAATTTTGATCATGAATTTTCTCCCATACGTAGTGATGATGATCTGTTCTGGATGTCATATGGACTCTCAACCTTAGTAACAACTGCGCCACTCTGCAATCCACTCTATGTGCAGTTTGATCTTGGATTTTTATATCTGTTAATTCTGGAAAAAAATCCTCAGCACCATCAACTTTAATTTGATCATGAATTTTCTCCCATACGTAGTGATGATGATCTGTTCTGGAATGTCATATGGACTCTCAACCCTTAGTAAACTGCGCCACTCTGCAATCCACTCTATGTGCAGTTTGATCTTGGATTTTTACTACCTGCCCCATCTGGATGCTAAGCTAGAAAGAATGGGACCGACCAACAATTTAATGGGACACCAATCATTGAAATCGCACAATAAGCTAATGGAATGCCCCCCTCCTCTACCACTGGTTCCAATATTTCAAACCAGAACATCAGGGCTTCCCATTTTTCTTCCATTGCAATCCTTCTCTCTTCAACTGACTGAAACACTACCAGACACGCATTCTTCGCATATCCCCACTCATCACCTTACTTTAAGCCTCATTTCGTAAGGCTTTCTGCACAAATTCTACTTCAAAAATATCTTTGCAAAATGCCAGTAAGTGAAGATTTCAACCATATCTCTCTTCCATCGGGATAAAGACTTCCAAAGATTTCTTCTCTTCCTTGGTATTCCTTTGACTGCTTATTTGATGACCCTCTGGAACTTTTTTCACCCCAACCACAGTGTCTCTATAAGTCCTTCCATCAAGGAACTTGCTCATTTGTTCCATTTTCTCTTTCCCTTGTGCTGGAGAAGTCAATCTTCTACCCTTCAACTCTCCTATTTCGACCTTTTTGAAGCCCTCCACACTAGCCCCTTCACGACTCTTCGTCTCAGATAACTTGTCATATTTAGCTACTGATACAGAAATTTTCTCGGCAATCCTGACATTATTCATCTTCTCCACCGCATTGTACAGATCCTTCTTGCTTGCAAAATGGACAAAAGCAAACGTACAATCCTTGTAATTCGGTCTGTTGTTAATAAAAGGAATAAACACCCTAATATCTTTTCCATGATAACTAAAATGTTCCCCTAAAGTATGGAAATGTAGAAATGAGATTATCTTTCAGAAAGGCAAGCTGGATTTGGTCAGATTATCTTTCATTGTTAGATTTAGAGTGGCTTCCTGGTTTAGTGCTCATTCAAGGATGTGGGTATTCCCTAGATTCTCTAGTAGGTGACTTGAAAATTGCTGACTCGATTGGTAGATCAAGAAAGGTTTGCTCTCAACCTGCTTGCTGGGTTCCTCCACCGGAGGGGTTTCTAAAGTTAAATGTTGATGGAGCGATGGTTTCGGGTTGGGAAAAAGGAGGTATTGGTGGTCTGTTTCGAGATAGCAGAGGTCTATTGCTTCAGTGGTTTTCTGAAGCAGTAGGGGGTGGTCCTCCTATTTTGGCTGAGCTGTTGGCTATCAAAAGAGGGATTTGTCTTATGGAGGAGTTGGATTTTGTCGCAAATCAAAGAGTTATCTTGGAATCAGACTCTTCTAACGCTCTGAAGTGGATTCAGAATCCGGGTCTAACCCCTCATTTGCATCTATCCTTGGTGAAGGACATAATTTCACTTTTGATTGGAAAGGATATTATTTTTAGGCATACTTCAAGGGCGGCAAACTGGGAAGCTGATAAACTTGCTAAAGATGGGATAGGGTGATTTTGGTTATAGTTGTGTTTAACAGGATTGTTCCTCCCTGTTTTGTTGGATGTTTGTGTTAAGTTTTATGTTCTTCCGTTGGAAGTGTAGGAGTTTGTTCAAGCTTGTAATCTGGTTATTATGAATAAAAGTTTTCTTGGCTCTCTTTTCCTCCTTCGTTGTTCCTTCATGTTACTCTCATAACATGGAGGGATTGAAGGAGGATTTTAATGGGGCCTTTCTATCAAAAAAAAAAAATGTTCCCCTAAAGTTCTTCTGCTCACTCCTACTAAGATTATCAAAGAACCCCCTCCAAGAACCTCTCCATCTTTGCCATCAGAATATCTGCTCTCTCGTTCTCTCGCTCTCGCCATTTCAAGGAAACATTGATTGAAGGGAAGGTAGTGTGGTTTTGGTTCATTAAAGATAATTTATCGAGCTGATTTTTTTGGTGATTTTGATACATGGTATTTTTGTGGAGTTCCCTTCAGAGGCGGATGTTTTTGGTTTAATGATTTTAGGTGTTGTTTTTATGTATGTTATGTCATTAAATGTTGGGTTGTTTTCCTATTGATGGAGGTTTATCTTAGGTATAGGGTGATTGCCTCTTGATTTTTGTGGTCGAGAAGGTGAGAGCTTTAGGTGATTATGTTTTTTGTAATGGCTTTTATCCTCGTTTGAGGGTATTTCGTGTTTTCATATGTAATGAGGCGTTTTATTCAATGAAATATGAGGTACTCTTTTCTTCCTTCCTATGTTCGTTAACATACTTCTTAGTATGTAGACGAATAAGAAGGGAGTTTTTAATGAGACCTCCAACTTCTATAAAAAAAAGGCTGCAAAGCTTCTCAACCATAGCAGCAACTCTTAAATCATAAAATGTTATTACCCTTAACAAAATATTCAAACACCAAAGGGTGCTATATTGGAATCTAAACAAGACTAAACTAACCCAAAAATATTTATTTAAATAAAAATTGGCAAGATAAACAATCTAAGGCTAATAACACGGCCTGAATCACAGCCAACTAGACAAGGGCATACCTTTTGTGAAGGGTAAAACCAGATGCCTCTGCAAACCACCTTCTAGTTTCTTCAGTGGAGGAAAAGGGCCTTTTCCCTTTGGTTGAACCTAGCAAGAGTTATGATGATACTTTAAATGAACTCGAAAGTGAAGATAGGAAATAAAAATCAAAACCCGGCATATCCCTACCTGTGCCTCGGGATTCATTCCAAGTGCAACTAATGAGCCCAGAGCTTCAGCAAATGCATCCCGAACAGAAGTTATTGAATCCTCAAGAGCCTAGTGAAAACAGCAGTAAAAAGAACACATATATTTACAACCCCAGTTTCAAAGAGATCAAGAAAATACAATAAGAAAAAATGCAACGAGCAAAAGATGACAAAGAAGAACACTTGCCTTGACACATTGTGTAGCTAAACTGTCAAGTTCTCCAACCCCTAGACCAGGTCCCCCTATGTTGGCAATAGCCTTCAGACAACGTGCCGAAGCTATTCTAACAATAAATGCTCTGTCTCCAATGCCAAATCTCGTAATGAGACGAAATGCCTCAGTATATGCTGAAGCAGCAGCACTACCACCACAGCCTTCCAAAGCATTCTGAAGCATGAGCAAAGCCTCTTGTCTCACAAACTCCTAAAATTCAATATAAACAGATTAAAGCCACAGGAATAAATGTGGTAATAACATTAACACCAACCAAATTTCAACTAGCAAATTCTTGATAACAATATAGCAAAAATTAACTAACATATACTCCGGCAACCATGTCATCCAAACACATCTTGGCTTTACTGCCTAAAGATATTGTTTCTCTTCACCAAAATAACACTATAGGCCACAGATATCAACTTCTTTTGCTTAGTTTTTGTTAAGGGAAACGGGGGGACATTCATGACACTAGAATCCCTACATTGCTAGACGTGCAAAAAAAAAAGCATGATGCAATATGCACATACAACTTAAGATATATAAGTCTTGCCTATATTAGGGGGAAACGACTTTGTAGAACAATTAAACATGGAAAATTCCCTTTCGATCATTTCTCTGGTATTTTCACATTAATTTTAGGACTTACCCTCAATAAATTACATAAATAAGAATTCATATTAAAAAAATATACCTCATGAAATTTCATCAGTTTTGTAGCAATGATAGTTGTTTCAAACAAACCCGAAGTTATTCTTCTCCCAAAATGTTGATACAACTTGCCCAAGCATTGTGCAGCACCTACAAAATTTAAAACAAACGCTCATAACACAAGAAACAATTTGAAAGTCTAAAAATCTTAAGACTATGAGAAGCAATCCTTCAATGAGAAAATTTATTGATTATGAACATTAAGTTGTAAAGAACATTGCAACGTCAGAAGCAAAAGACATACTATATTTATATAATAGACAGTATACACACAAAACTCAATGCGTCAGTGGGCATCTCTTCATTAGTATTCAAATTTTATGATATAGATCCAATATAAGTTCTGAAAGTTATATAAACAAACATACAAATGACAGAAGTCAAGTATTTTGGCACCTCTAAGTAAATTGACTATCATCCTCGCTACACCAAAGCACTCAAAAAGAAACCGACCCTGTCACTGGCAGGTTTATTCACTTCTCATGGTATAATCCCAATGAACATGGGTATTTTCATCATTAAACAAAATACTCAGAAAAAAACTGAAAACAAAAGAGGTTCACTATGTTTGGCCTACCAGACTCAAGACCTGTGGTGCCGTTAGGCACTCCCTCCACACTGAAGTACAGTTGGAGGCATAATGAACATTTTGGATGATAACCACATCACAATAGGCCTTTGTATTTGAGGAGTTGGAGTGTATGTTTCATTCTGTTTCTGCAGGTTTTTGTTCTCAGTATTATGTAATTTGTGTCTACGCTTTCCAGCTGATAGTGGTTTTTAAGTCTTATGCTTTCTGGGAAGGTTTATCTTGTTTTAAGAGTGGGTAATGTACTTTTCTTCTGTTTTATATAATTATAGGTGCTCTTTTCCTCCTTTCATTACCCTTCATGTTACTTTCATAACATGGAGGGTAAAAAGGAGGTTTTTATGAGGCCTCATCTTCTATCAAAAAAAAAACCACATCACAATAGGCATGCTAAACATAACCTATTTAAAACATCTGATGAAAAGTTGGCATGTCCAAAAGGAGCTTTATGGAAAGCAGGATTTTTTTTTTTTATAGGTAGTGGAGGCCTCGTTAAATTTATTGCTTCCTATCGGCAACAATATTATACAAATGTAAATGAATTATAAAGCTTTTAAAAAAGTGGAGTACTGTCTTATTAAATTGGGATTAGAATAACAGTGACATTCTTATTCCTTCGTTGAATTTTAAGATTGTTTTCTGATTTCTTAGGTATTGTCAATACTAGCTTTTTTTGTTCTTGTTGAAAAGTATTCTTTTAGAAAGGCAATATTGTTGTCAAAAAGGGCATGATATAAGCACAACAAAGTTAGTTGCAGCTTCAACTAACCAGGAATTTATATGAAAGCACAGTATATTTGTCATTTCTAGCTAAAAAAAACACATGATATAAGCACGGTACAGTTAGTTGCAGCTTCAACTAACCAGCAATTTTCTGTGGCTCACTCCGCCTCCCATCAGAAAGAAATCCTTGGAGACTACTTGCTCTTGAGTATATTGAAATGCTATCTCCTTTTGATATCATCATTGTCATTGCTACGGATGCCAAGTGTCGCACAGGACGTTTGGCACCAAGAATAAGCAAGGAATATAAGGCATCCTCACATTTTCTTTGCCACAACAAAATAGATTCCTGAAATTTAATATTTCCAAGTTAAAAATAAAACGTCACTCAAAAGAAATAAACTTCCAAACATAACTCAAATCTGAGAACAAATTTCTAGAAGGCAAACATGAGACACCTTCTACTACGCTTACATTGAACTTAAAAGTAAAAAACACATCACCGAAGCAAGTTATTTATCTCTATATGAATCTGAATAATCACAATCCACAGTGAAATCATTTGGAGCCACACTCACTAAGGAGTGGAACAACCAGATTGAATGGAGCAAATTCATATGGATGGGAATTGCCCCCCCAAGGGTGGAGGTTTTTCTTTGGCAGGTGGTGAACGGAAGAATCGCTGTCAAAGCGGAATTAGTGAAGCGAGGGGTAAGGGATGTAACAGACTCAGTTTGTCCTTTATTTAAGAAAGAAACAGAGACGGTTTTCCATCTCTTTGTAGGCTGCAGGGTGGTTTGGAATCGGATCATGAGTTATTGGGAAACCTTAACAGTGTTCCCAGGTACGATTTCTTCCTTCCTAATCTCTTGGCATAATGAAGCGATTGCTAAGTCAAGTGCAATCTGGAAATTCATTCCGTTTGCGGTAATTTGGTCTATATGGAAAGTAAGGAATGAGATAATATTTCGAAACTGCCACCTAGATGCAGTGTTGTAATTATTCCTTAGCAAAGACCCATCTTGTATCATGGTTTAAGGTGCTACATCCATTGCCAGAATTATCTTTTCACTGTCTGGTCAGTGACCCTTCTCTGGCTAAGAATTCGATAGTAACTACCGGCACTCTTGTGAGATGGTCACCACCACCGCAGGGCTTTATTAAAGCCAACATCGACGGGGCTACGGAACATTCGTGGGGAAGAGGAGGTATCGGGGGATTGTTTCGAAATCAGAGTGGTTTCTGCCTAGCCACCTTCTCAAAGGCTGTTGGGCAAGGACCTTCTATCATGGCAGAATTATTACCCATCAAACAAGGCATCTCTATGTTCATGGAAATAGAGGTAAGCAAGAAGAATAGGTTGATTGTGGAGAGTGACAGTAAGGTAGCAGTGGATTGGGTAAAAGACCCTATATTATGTCTGTTCCCTTCTCGGAGTTGGTAACAGGCATTGCAGCATCCATATGGAAAGGGCAGTTGTGCTTCGATGGGTTAAGAGGAGTGTAAATGCTAAAGCAGACGAGCTGGCAAAGCAAGGGATAGGGTAGTAAGCGTTGATCGTGTAGGGGGAGGTGTATATCTTGGTAATCCTACCAGATCCTTAAGAGGGAGTGGGTTTTCTGGTTTAGGAGAGGTTTAAGCTGTTGTAATATTCCTTTCTTATAATGTTTGCTGTGTGCTAATGAAATCAGAGGTACTCTTGTCCTCCTTCCTCTCTTTTTCGATACTTGATAGTATTCCGAAAAGCATGAAGGGGTTTTAATGAGACCTCCAACTTATATCAAGAAAAAAATATCCATAACTAAATCTCTTCTGACCAAATTAAAATGCACAGCTTCCTAAGAAATTGCAAATAAAATCTTAAAAGACTTAAACTTCACTGAAAAAAAACAAATAAACAAACAGAACAACTAACTAAAAAAGGAACACAAGCAGATAAAATTCTGCAATTAAATTGTGTACTGAAATAGCAAAAGGTTAGATCCGGAGAAAAAAGGACCTTGGGCTCGTCATCAAGGGCGGATAGGAGATCGGAGAGGAGATCGAAGCAAAGAAGAGGATCAGGAGATTTCTGCGATGCGGAAGCAACGATGGACTCAAGCTGAGCTACCAGGACGCCGAAGCGTGAGAGAGGAACGTTCTCTCTCACGTAATTCCTCCTCGCCATTATTTTTTACAAGGAAGCCAATGCAGGAACTAGTAATGGAAACCCACTCCAGTTCTTTTTCCTGAACGAGAAGAATTAAAAGACGGTTCTTCCAAACTATAGTCCATATTATAAACTAGAAGAAACATGAATACTGCGAATGAAAAACGATTAATCTTGGTAAAATCACCTGCTAGGTCATTTTTATAGATATTATATCAATTTAGTCCCTCGACTATCAAATGGATAAATTCCATCCCTCTATAATAAATCTATTATTTAAAAAGATTCTAACGACAATTTACCTTTAAATTTAAAAAAAAAAAAACTTAAAGGAAAATAAAAAAATTCAAAATTTATATCCTGATTCACAGTCTATTATATGTATTTTAAATTTAAGTTCAAAATTAAATAAAAATGCTTAAGAAATAATTTGAACTTTATAACATAAGGGTTTAGGGTTTAACTTAAATAAAACTTATATGTAATATAACCTAAATCATGATATCCTAAATAGATTGAAAATATTTCGAAATAATTTAGTTTGAACTTATATTATATAAATCTATTTAATTGAATAACTCAAATAAGTATTATTTAAATTTAATTTATTATCTTATCTATAGTTTTGATTAGTTCAACTTTCAAAAGATCAATTATGATCTAATTAGAGAACTCTTTTATAAGGGTTATATAGTCGAAAATTTTTATAAGTCAATTATTATAACTATAGGTTTTTTATCGGTGAAGTAAGTGGTACTATTTGCTATACAAGTTGCTTAAATTTTCTATTTTTTTTGGTTGCCCTTCGAGTTCTAAAGTTTTGTCTTAATTAATCTGGACTGATCTGTGTCGCACATCTAACTTTGGTGAGTGAGTCTTCTAACAAGGATTTTCTACATACACAATAACTCGAACTCGAGACTTTGCTCAAGTGATATCAAACTATAAACTTTAAATTTTAACCCTAAATTATAAACCTTGAACTTGAACCCTAAAAATTAAATATTAAAACCTTAACCCTAAATTATAAATCCTAAATATAACTTGTAAACTTGCAAGAAACAGATTTATCTAAATTAAAGTGGACATAACTTATACATTAGATAAATTTTTATAACATAAATATAACTCATATTTTATTTTCTCCAACTACCTTTCTTTTATATATATATATATAACATTCGATATCTGATTTATTGATCGACTAATCCAGATCGAGTACAACAGAGGCAAGGAGAACTCTCCAAACTTAATTTACTCCATTTACAATTGTCAGAATTTGAACCCTTACTTTTCTTTGAGTATGAGATAGTTGAAAAAATAATAACTAAAAATTATGATCACATAACAATACATAATTAAAATGAAACCTTTTGAATGAGCTCTAAAATGAAACCAATTTCATAATTTTTTGAAGGTTAAGATTTTAATTTCATTAAATTATATCAATAAATTTCCACTATTAACATTATTTTGTTAAAAACTTGTATTAAAATGAGATATAAAAATGTATATATGGGTATATTCATTGATATTTGATATAATTAATTATTCCAGATCGAAGATCGAATATTAGGGAAATCATTATAAATATTATCCTTCTAATTTAATTTATTCTATTCACAATATTAATAATCAAACCCTAAACATTACCAAAAAGATATAACACCTTATTCTACTAAGACAACTTTTAAAGCAGCATAAATAAGTCAATCTATTTATAATAAAAAGATCATTGATAAAAAAAAGTGACTTACATAGAAATTATGCTAATTATAGTGACCTAAAGCATATATTACCCTTAATTTTATTCTCTATTTCCTATTTTCTTGTTATACTAACCATTCTCAAAATTCATTTCCTTTTTCTTTCTATAGAACCAAAGTAGTATTTATTTAACTTGTATATTTGCATTTAAGTATGATGGATGGCCATGGGCAACAACGGACTCTGACCAGTCAGTTATATACAATGCATGGGACGAAACAAACACAGAAGATAATTTACTCTTAACAAACAACATTTGCTTTAGAGATATCATCTCAAGCTGCAGTTCCAGATAGGTCCACCATTTAATCAATGCAGAAGATACAAGTTCCAGGGAAACCATATGGATTAAAACAAATAAGTTGTATGCCGAATACTTGATTGCAAGGCTCTGTAGCCCAGCACTGGAAAGGGAAATGAGCTTAGACTCTTGAAGTTCCTTTCTGATTTTCATGAAGCATGTATTCTTTCTTCATTTCTTCCAACACAGCATCATTGGTGCTGCAAGACAAAAACGTTAAACTTAGTTTTTGTCAAATTCAGAGCACAGCAAGCCTTCCTCATAATTTGCATCATGTGCCTGTTGATCATCAAATTAACAGGCACATATATATGTGCATTTTTTCTGGATTTGATTTTCTCAACAAGCACTTTAAGTGATAAAGAGAACGGAAACCAAAACAACAAAAAGGGTAGGAAAATAAACACTTGTCATTCTAAATTAACATCATGATGACTTTCCATACAAACATGGAAAATGTGAAACCTAATTTCTATCAACTACACTGATTAGAGGAATTGGGATATTTTTTTTCATTTCCCACTTGTCCAGTGCACCCCCAGGCAGCCACTTAGACTTACGGCCACATATTGACAATGACAACAAAGTCACACAAAAGACACTTATGACATGGGCGCAAAGCGTAACAATTGGCATTCAGTTAGTGCCCAGGGCCCAAGCATAAGCTGTCAAACAGCTTTTGGGCAGAAAGCCACTGACCGAAAAAGTTTTAATCTTTAAACTCGAGTGATTTGTTTTGTGAGACTTGATCTCTTATATGGGTGTTATCATTCACTCTTACGTCTAATGTAGTTTGGGGTATCAGAATAAGCGTAGATTAGAGTATTACAAATAGCCTACTAAAATTGCATAGGTTCCTTGCATTATTACCTTGAAGTTTTATTCAAATAAATTTACAAATAAAGGGATCGCTTAAATAAGTTAAACTAGCAGACGATTAACAGACATAAAAACAAGAAAATGTCCATGAGACATCTTCTTTCTATAGGGCAAGATAATTATGCATAGATAAAGTTTGAAGATTTGAAAACCAGAACCTGAAGTTTGATTTTGCTTTCAAGGTGTGCGAAATAATTATCATTAAAAATTTGTTAAGTAATATTCTTTTAAACATTTAACTTAATGCTAGGCATGAATCTACGACGAGCTTGTGAACCAAGCAAAAGTGGATTGAGTTCCTCAGTTAAGATATTTCATTCTCTTGAAGGCAATGCATGTTTTAATGGCAGCATCCATAATCTCAGATCATGATACCACATTTTGAATCAGACGTGTGAAACGAGTTGAGATTCAAGCTCTAAGCCTGTGCAGTTGAACTTGAGATTGCACTCATCCAAGTCCAAGGTCAACATTCCCACCTAGATGCTGTAATATCAATAAACATATAATATTCATTAACAATAATGAGCCATTAATATCCTGGTGGTTAAAACAATTGTATGGGAACCAATTTGTCACTAGACTTATAAGATGAAAGCAAGAGCCGAACCTTAAATATCAACCTAAACAACAAATAAGATGAAAGCAAGAGCCGAACCTTAAATATCAACCTAAACAACAAAGAAATTATATTTTCTAAGGAGCTTCGCTTCTTATCATTAAGAAAAGCAGTTTCCTCTGGCACAATTCATAGCATTTTCAAACAAACTCAGTCAATAGAGAGGATATATTCCATAAAACTTATGCAAGGATTTGAAAATGCTTGCATTGTAAAATGGCACATCTTGGAACCTGTTGGAACCGTCTTTCGGGTGGGCCCGGAATTGGGCTTCAACTTGGATTCAACGGGTTAGAGTCGCCACCGACCATTTTAAAATAAATTTAGGTGGGTCGGACACCATCTTACCTGATCTGCGTTGTACCAGAAACGTGTCGGGTTCGGGAGTCGGTTACGATCAAGGAAGGATTAGCACTCTTAAACCGCCCTTTCGGTACCAATTAATTTTCCGGTTGTCTTTAAATGCGAAAATTGAAAAATTTAAATTTAAATTTAAAAAACTCGATTCGAATTACTTACCTTTGATCAGTTGAAATTCTTCTAAAAGAAGAAACAAAAATGTTAGAAAAAAAACAAAAAAAATATTAAATGAATCGAAAAAATAATAACAAGTCAAAAGAAAGGGGAGAAAAAAATAAGTGAAAAATAAATAAGTCAAAGAGGATAGAAAAATATGATAGATAAAATTAAAATTAGTAAAAGGGAAAGAAAGGGTAAAGTTTAAAAGTAATAAATAAAAAAAATATGAAGGAAAATACTAATAATAATAGCGATAAAATAAAATGAGACTTAGGGGGACCAAAAAAAATTAAAAAAAATGGAATTGACGGGCTAAATTGGTATTAAAATGGATTGCAAAAAAAAGAGAGTAAAAAGTTACGAGCCAATTCACAAAAAAAAAACAGTGACCAAATTAATTGAATTGCAAATTCAGGGTCAAAATTACAAATGGTGACTAGATTGAAATGCGATTCAAACCATTAGGGACGGCGGAGGGAATTTAATAATCCCATAATTGCACAATGGCCCCTCTTAAAACGGCGCCGTTTCATCTGGTGCCAAAACGGCACCGTTTTGGTTCTAGTACTTAAATCCAAACGAGGCCCACTTCCTTTACTCTCTTCATTTTCTTCTTCACTCCAGAAAGAAAAAAGGAGAGTTCAGAACTCTCTCCCCCTCCCTCGTCGGAGAGAGGAAACGGTGGCGGAGCCGCGACTGCAAGCGGCGGCGCACGGAGGCGCCGGTGACCGGAACTAACCCAAACACAACCGATAGCCTCCCCTCAACCCCCCGATGTCGAATCTGGCCTCGAAACAGTGAAAACGACACTAGATCGGAGTAGATCTAGCCTTGAAAGCCTCGATCCTTACCCTTTGGGGCGAGAAATCGTCGCCTTCCTGGTGGTTCTTCGATTTGCTTTGCTTTGCTTTGCCTCGGTTTTTTACTTGCTTAGATTTTTTGCTGGGGCTTCGGCCTTTGAGTTTATATTTGATATTTGCTTTGTTTTCTGTCCGATGTTGGGTACTGTTGATATCTCTCTGTAGTTGTGGGTTCTCGGTTCGTAGTGTGATGGTTGATGTTTACTGTGTTCGTCGTGGGTCTTGATCCTCGGTTTTTTGTGGGACTTGATTTTGGTTTGCTTGTGGTTTGGTACTGGTTCGATCCCTGATGGGTTATGTGTGTACTGTTGATGATGTATTTTGGACCTCTCCCCCCTGTACTGTGTTGGTCATGGGTTTTTATAACCCCCACCGGCCGTTGGGAGTCCCGACGATCTCGGGATCGTGGTTGGTTGGCCGGGGATTTCGGGATGGGTCAGTCCCGATCCCCTCGGCCGAAAATCTCGGTGACCGGTGTGTGGTGGCGTTCAGGCTTCTGGTAACCTTGATTTGATCTTGACCATTGGATTGGGTCAGATCCAACGGTCCAAGATCGGCTGCGGCTGATAGCTCTTTGTGGGTTAAACAAACCCTAATTCCCTTGCTATGTTGGCCGTTGATCTCTTTGTTGATCCAACGGTCCCCTGTTGTGTGGCGCTGTGACATATGCTGGAACCCTAATTTGACCTCTGGGCTGGATCAGGCCCGTCTGACTGGATTTGGACCCGTTTCTAGACCCGTTTTTGGACCTGAAAAAAAATATATGAAATTAAATTAAATTAATAAAAAAAATAAAATAAATAATGATAAACTATATATATATATTTCAAAAATATGTTTTAGAAAACTATATATTATACTTAAACAAATTTCCAAAACTATATATTACATAGTTTTCAAAACGTTTTAAATATATAAGTTTTCAAAAAAAATGTTTAAAACTATATATTATATAATTTCACAAAAAATGTTTTTAAAACTATACTATATGTTTTCAAAATGTTTTAAAAACTATATAATATATAACGGTTTCAAAATGTTTTCAAAACTATATTATATATATTTTCAAAATATTTTCAAAAACTATATATATATAAATTTTCGAAAATCATTTTCTGAAAATTATATTATATTTTGTCAAAAACATTTTTACAAACTATAATAAAAAACATAACTCCGGGCGAAAATGAGTCTACAGCTGCCCCTCTTTGTCCTTTTTTCGTGGAATGAAAAATAGGACAAAGATAAAATGACACAAATTTTCGCTCGGTGGAGCTGAAAATTGATTTGAATTAGGAATAACTCCCTGTCGAATTGGGTTGCGGATGGCTCCTCCGTCGCGAAGTCGAGTCCATCTCGAAATGATATAGAATTGAAGCCGCAGTTCGGGATTTGAATCGGGATGTGGCTTCTCGTTGTAGTCCGCCTCGGTCTTTTCCTCGGTTTAAAGACTCTGGTTGGAAATTCGACTGGAAAGTAGTTCATTGACTCCATCATGTGGTTGATAGGCCCTCGAGCTGAATGAAATCGAACTCGAAAGGTCTTTGTTGACAGATAGTTTTTCTCGACTTAAGCTATGCTGCCGGAAAATGGCTTCTTGTCACTAAGGCACGGCTAACCCAGGTCTTTTCCTTGACTTGAAAATCTCGACTACAACCGGACAGTAGTGTGATTGAGGTGTCATCGAGCTGAATGGAATCGAACTCGGTAATTTTATTGACATATAACCCTTCTTGCCTTGAGCTATGCTGCAAATGATGTGCCCTCGAAGTTGAGTGCAATCGAACTCAAGGGTCTTTGGCAGATAACCCTTCTCGACTTAAGCTATGCTGCAAATGATGTACCGTTGAGTTGAGCGTTGTCGAACTCAAAGGTCTTTGGTTGGCAGATAACCCTTCTCGACTTAAGTTGTGCTGCAAATGATGTGCCCTCGAAGCTGAGTGTAATCGAACTCGGGGGTCTTTGGCAGATAGCCCTTCTCGACTTAAGCTATGCTGCAAATGATGTGCCATTGAGATGAGCATAGTCAAACTCAAAGGTCTTTTGTTGGCAGACACTCCTTCTTTGAGTTGGATACCCCTCGTCGTGAAGTTCAAATCCAATCTAGAGATTAATGCTGCTTGTGTGCACGATTCCCTTCGTCATGAAGTTGAAACCGCGGGTGACCCTTCGTCGTTAAGCTGAGCCTGGAATTGGATATCCTTCATCGTGAAGTTGAAATCCAAGTAAGTTGTATTGTTCCAAGTCCAATATCCTCCACCGTGAAGTTGAAATTGGCTCTGGAATTGGGAAATTGTTTGTTGACAACCAGCGGTCCCTTCGT